GCTGGGGAGAGGGAGGTCTGGGTCTCTTTGCTTAGGCTGCTGCCCCCGCGACCCGATCCCAGATAAGGGGCAGAAAATGAATGGATGGATGGACGGACAAATTTTACCTAAAGAAAATGTTACATTCCGTCATGGATCAGTCAGCAGCAGCTTCTGATCAATATGTGATCCATGACGTGATGTGATGTAAATGTAACATTTTCTACATATAGGTAAAATTAACCACTGCAATAAAATAACTGTCTGTTTTTTGTCACTTTTACGGTGGATTGCATCAACTCTGTTACATTACAGAAGGGAAACTTCACCTAATTGAAACATAAATCTGTGGATCTGTGTTTGATTACTCTGGCTGGCTTTCTCAAGGACCAGGATGTGACACAAAAATCTGAAATTTGGAACTGAAATTGAATTATAGAACTGAAAGTGAACGTAGTCAAACTGAATTTTTAATAAACCAAAATACATTTTCGAAGCAAATTAATTCGAGTTCAAAACTTTAAATTCAGTTTCAATTTAGTGAAATTTGTTTTCAAACCAATGCATTCAGTTTCAAATTATGCACATTCAGATTCAGTCTGAGATATTCAAATTCAATTCCTGCTGGCAAAATTTTTTTCTCATATTTGCCCTGGTTCAACACAGCTGAACCTAATGAGTGCTTAATTAGTAGGCCTCCTCAGTATGCCATGCAGAAGCCTACTAAATAAGCACTCATTAGGTTCAGCTGTGTTGAACCAGGGCAGCACCTAAAACATGCAGGACACCACTGCTCTACAGTATTGACTGTGATAAAAACAGCAGGTTGGACGTCACCGTGACTGACTCACTGGTTTTAGCAAATAGTTTTATTGTCACAAATCTTTCACCCATTCAACTGTTTAAACACAACTTTCTTTGTGAGTTGGTGTAATATTAATATTTGTCCTTCGGGTTCAGCACATCACTGAGCAGCTCTGAACTGCTAAGGTAAAGGATGGAAAACACCAATGAGTCAAGTTCAACTTGGGATGTTTTAGCTAATCCACTRTTTACTGCTTTGCTTAATAGCCATGAGCAATAAAAAAAAGTAAAACAAACAAGAGTTGGGTATTCCTGACCATGAGGAGTTGCCCGTTTCTCTCACACACACCTTCTCTCCTCTCATTCCTTTTTTTTTTTTTTTGGTCTTGGTTGTTTTATAACTTTTTAACCAAACTCTGGATCATTGAGTTGGGGTTTCCCCTGGTAACACACGCAAACACAAATACACACACAAAAGCAAAGGCTCTCCTTGTCCCTGGCAAGGACACACTGAACTGTGGGAGTCCTGCCTCACAAACACACATTCATTCACAAACGGACGCACACACAGCGGATTCAAATTCACRTCTCTTCTACAAAATTCATGAAGTGCAAACCTTCCTTTAATAGTCATTCTTAGTATTTTGAGCTTACATCTCATAAAACTTTATTAGGTTTTCTACTGTCCACATCTCTACGTATCCGAAGGGATGAAAAAAAACATTCAAAGAAAAATAAATCCCACAGCATATTTCATGTCAAAAACATTACATCAGATGGAAAATATCTGCATCCTATTCTGGGAGTTCAAACAATGCTTTGCTGTGCAGCGCTGAGACACGGCAGCTGAGGACACCACAGGATGGGGAGTTAAATTACACAAGCCTTAGTTTAGCTACATTTTGTTACAAGCTAAATGAGTATCTAAGAGGCGATCGCCGCGAGCTCGCTGAAGATTTCTTCTCCAATAATATTATTTCTACAAACAGGTCGAGTGGGGAAGGAGGGCAGCAGGAGCGGGGAAGAAGACAGGCGAGGAGAGGACCATAGAAGGAGACATATCACTCATGTCACACAATCTGGACCTGAGGAAAACTCATAAGCTGATAGGATGACTATCTATGGTTAAACAAAGAGTCACATGAATATAGTTTTTTTTTCTTTTTTTCTGAACCAGTGGAGGATTGAGAACAACTCAGTAAAAGGTGCTCACAAGTTCACATTTGAAACCACATGATGGAAACTTGTTAGAAGTGAGGTCATCCAAAATGGCTCTCAGTCAGTCTAAACAGTTAGTGTTTGACTTTTTGAAACTGCCAGTTTTCACTGCCACAGACTGATTTATTGTCTATAAATCTTAAAGTGACGCTGCGAGTTGTGAATTCAATAATTTCTTTGGAACTTCATTGTGGTTTAAAGTCAACACTGTAGCAGCCTGGAGGCAGGAAATCTCCTCCCACTCCCTCAGTAATTAAATGAAATTGCATCCATCAAAATCAAAATGTTTGGTCTTGGTTTGTGCTTAGAGGAAAACCCATAGAGAAATTGAAGTGCAAATGCTTATTGCTGAAAGGTTTTTGATGGAAGCTGCTGAAACCAATGCTGAAAAGGTTTAACAGCAAAACTGTTGGAACAGCTGGCTTTCCTGAAAGCAGAACAACAAAAAAGWGAAGATATCAGAGAAAGGGTCAAAAGATCTGAAAAGAGGAGCTAAAATAAGCAAAAAGTAGATGAAACAAGTTCAAATTAACAGACGAGGAAACAAGAGTGAAAATTTTCTCAGCAAAAACCAAAGTGCTTCTAATTTGTTTTGCAAGAGCGAAAAAAAACTTGCCTAAATATAGTTTAAAAAGTAGCTAAAATCATCACAAAGAAACTGAAAACCATGTTCGCTGAGTTGAGCAGTAAAAAATGAAAATTATCTCAAAAGGGTGAATTTAAGCTGAAAACGCTCAAACGAGCTTAAATTAGCTAAAAAGTAGCTAAAAACAGAAAACAGCTTAAATTAGCAGAAAGCAACTGAAAGAAGCACAAAAAATAAGAAATTAGCAGAAGAATAGCAGACATTATCAAAATAGCTAAAAATTAGGGACGCACCGATATTCATTTCAACCGATATCAA